TTTTTATTTTTATTATTCTTTTTTTTTTCTTATTCTTTTTATTTTTTCTTTTCTTTTATTCTTTTTCTTTTCTCTTATTCTTTTTTTTTTCTCTTATTCTTTTTTTTATTCTTTTCTTTTTTATTCTTTTTTCTTTTCTCTTATTCTTTTATTTTTCTTTTTCTTCTTATTCTTTTTTTTTTTTATTCTTTTCTTTTTCTTATTCTTTTCTTTTTCTTATTCTTTTTATTTTCTCTTATTCTTTTTATTCTTTTTCTTTTCTCTTATTCTTTTTCTTTTCTCTTATTCTTTTTATTCTTTTTCTTTTCTCTTATTCTTTTTATTTTCTCTTATTCTTTTTATTCTTTTTCTTTTCTCTTATTCTTTTTCTTTTCTCTTATTCTTTTTCTTTTCTCTTATTCTTTTTATTCTTTTTCTTTTCTCTTATTCTTTTTCTTTTTTTTCTTTTCTCTTATTCTTTTTTTTTTTTTTATTTTTTTTCTTTCTCTTATTCTTTTTCTTTTCTCTTATTCTTTTTATTCTTTTTCTTTTCTCTTATTCTTTTTATTTTCTCTTATTCTTTTATATTTTTCTTTTTCTTTTTCTTTTCTTATTCTTTTTTTTTATTCTTTTCTTTTCTTTATTCTTTTCTTTTCTCTTATTCTTTTTATTCTTTTTTTATTCTTTTCTTTTTTTTCTCTTATTTATTCTTTTTTTTTCTTATTCTTTTTCTTATTCTTTTTTATTCTTTTTCTTTTTCTTTTTTTTTCTTTTCTCTTATTCTTTTTATTCTTTTCTTTTCTCTTATTCTTTTCTTTTCTCTTATTTCTTTTTTCTTTTTTTTTTCTCTTATTCTTTTCTTTTCTCTTATTCTTTTTTATTCTTTTTTTTTCTCTTTTTTTTTTTCTCTTCTTTTTATTCTTTTTTTTTTTATTCTTTTTTTTCTCTTATTCTTTTTATTCTTTTTTTTTCTCTTTTCTTTTTTTTTTCTTATTTTTTCTTTTTCTTATTTTTCTTTTCTCTTATTCTTTTTCTTTTCTCTTATTCTTTTTATTCTTTTTCTTTTCTCTTATTCTTTTTCTTTTCTCTTATTCTTTTTATTCTTTTTCTTTTCTCTTATTCTTTTTCTTTTCTCTTATTCTTTTTATTCTTTTTCTTTTCTCTTATTCTTTTTTTCTCTTATTCTTTTATTTTTTCTTTTCTCTTATTCTTTTATTTTCTCTTATTTTTTTTCTTTTTTCTTTTCTCTTATTTTTTTTTTTTCTTATTCTTTTTATTCTTTTTCTTTTTCTTATTCTTTTATTTTTTTTATTTTTTTATTCTTTTTTTTTTATTCTTTTATTTTCTCTTATTCTTTTTATTCTTTTTATTTTCTCTTATTCTTTTTATTTTCTCTTATTCTTTTTATTCTTTTTATTTTCTCTTATTCTTTTTATTCTTTTTATTTTTTCTTATTATCCTTATTTTTCTTATTCTTTTTCTTATTTTTATTCTCCTTCTTTTTTTCTTAGTCTTTTTATTCTGATTCTTGTTTTTCTTGTTTTTCTTCCTTTTCTTTTTATTATTCTTTTTCTTTTTCCTTTTCTTCTTAATAATATCATCATCATCATGTAGATAAAGATACTTTTAAGATTGTACATGAAATAATCTCATGAGTAATCATTTGTGTCACAATACAGCGTTGAATCCATGAGTCCGAAATCCGATACATAACTGTTTACTGTATTTTGATCTGAAATTGATGTTATATACAACTAATTTTAACTACGTAATTAAGTGCATTGACATTGAAGGAGCTTAGTTTTGCTCTGCTTTTGAAAGCTGTAGTTTCTGTACCATCTTCTATGTGCCTTCTGCTTTCAGGACATTGGCGATCATGGCTCTCCACAGTTTTCTGTTCTTTATAGCTCTTAGGAAAATTTGTCTTTTTGCTATCTCTCCTAATCCCTTTTCTGCTAACCATTTACACAATGTCATTAGGTAGGTATGTGCTGCTTTCTTCTGTCCCTCATGCTTTCAATATGTCCTGTAAGTGTTAAATTTTCTAAGCCCACTTTCCTCATGATAAACTCTGTGGTTTGTGACCCTATGTTCTACCTCTCATGTATTTTCTTTTCGGCTTTTAGGATTAGTCTTAAAATCTATTATTTTTATTTGTTTTTTATTTCATCATTTCACTTAAAAAAGCTTCTTTCACTTTATATGTCAGCAAATAAAATCATGTCGATACAGATTTAAGCAATGTTTTTTTTTTTTTTACTTTTTTTTTTTTTCGAGCTGGTTGTTAAGGCTTAAAATGTTATTAATTAAATCTACCCATTTTTTCAAAGTACGTTAAATTTATTTTGTTTGAAAGACTAATTAAAAATATTGCACATTTGGATGGAGCACAATTATTACGTCTGATATTTTAAAAGTGAAAGGCGCACATCTGCATTTAGCAGATGATTCTCAAGTTATGTTACTCTCAACATTATTCAGTTACTAAAAAATTGTTGGTAACATATTTTTTGACTGATTAAGGTATTTTAATTAAAGACATGCAAAAGTTGAATAAACCTGATCATACATTTGTATACCATTCATTTTTTAGTGAATAAAATATTCAGACTTTAAAATAGTCTCTTCTTTGTAAGAGTCTGTTCTTTTTTATGTTTGTTTTTAACTCACCTTCACAGTACATTTTAAAGTTAATAGGTGAAAATCAATATTGTAAAACTTGTAAATCATTTAGGAATACTGATTTTGAGTCTGGCTTTCAAATAAACATCCACAATTCTAATACTAAATATTTTTTTTTTTTTTTTTTCAAATATTTTGATGTGGTCTATATTCATTCCATTGGAGTGATTTTCTAAATTTCAGTTTTTCCTCAAAGTATTTAAGGCTATCATTATCGTTCATCTTTTAAAATCTTTGACTTTATCCTGTATGTTTTTTGAAGTTTAAGTTATTATGTCTGTTTTTTGGGCGGAAGGTCTTCCATGTCCGTTGTATTCTGTCACATCTTTGGTGAGGCAGGTGTTACAACAACGACTACAAAAGAGAGATGATTTAGATAGAAGCCCTCATCTAGTGATCCGATAACCCAGTTGAGTTAGAGACCTTAGCATTTTAAAGAATGTGCTGGAACAAAATGTAATGCAAGTTCTCCACTTCCTTAACCAGGTATTGAACTCACACCCTTTCTGGTTAGATCCACTGAGAGGACCCAAAAAGTGTGAGTTCAATACTCGGTTGAGGCAGTGGAGAACTTGGAGAGAGGAATTAACAGGAGATAAGTGATAACTGACATCCATTAAACATGGCACGTGGAACTAGAATAGTTTACCCCAATGAGTGAAATAAAGGGTTCAGTTCGACATTCCAACTACCTGAAGAAGGCCGGTGCGTTCAACAGCCGAAATGTTTTAATAAATATGGCGACAAAGATGAGGACAATAGTCTGAATGGTGTACATAATACCTCATCTGAGAAATATTGACAGATACCAACAAAGCTGATATAATGATCTACCCCCAGTATTTTTTGATGATTCTAGCTCTTCTAAAAATTCCAAGTTCACCTTATATATTTAAAGTATTATAATCAACAATTAACCCCCATCCATTTAGTGGGGAGGGGATTAGCATCAGCCATGCTGATGGAAGACAAAAGAAATTTTCTTTAAGATGATTCATTTTAGATGTGTTAAAATTAACAAGTCCTTTCTTGCCCCTGTTTGATCAGGTATGCGGGTCTATCAAATACCTCAGGGAGTTAAACCTCCCTGCCTTGTATAGTTTATTACTCCTCAGAATGTTGAAAGAAAGGAACTTGTTGTGAATTGGGTAGGGGGGTGGCAGGAAAAATGTGATTTATCATGAAGAATGGCGACTTTTATGCAAACCAGACAACTCAATACAAAGGTTTTAATTTAACTTGACCTTCAAAGTAAAACTGAAATATCTCCTATGAAACATATCATAGCATTAAATAGGTTATCTAAAAAGACTTGAAATATAAAAAATTAATTTCTTTTGGGGCCAAGTTTACAATCATTCATCAGAATTGCCAAATTCTTGATATCCACCATAATTACTACATCTGAAAGACAAAGTCCAACTGAATAATACTGATAATGATCTATAACAGTGGTTCTCAACCGGGGTCTACATGGACCCTAGGGGTCCATGTAATATTTCTGGGGGTCCACAGGCAAAACTCAATTGTTGTGTTAATTAAAAATAGTAATAATAATTATTATTATAATTATAGTAGAATATTTTATTTGTATTAAATTAGTTTTCATTTAAAAATAAAGCTTAATCGTATACTATTTCTTTGATAATTAAAACCTTAAAATTTATATTAGTGAAGAATAGAAAATTGTTCTTATGTCCAATAGCTATGAAGGGGTCCACCAAGATAAAAAGAAGGGGAAAGGGGTCCATGGGTAAAAAAAGGTTGAGAACCACTGATCTATAATAATCATATTGTTGAGTCATAGCTTGTTTTTAGATGTGTACACGAAACAAGATTGTTGAGTAAAGGTCTGTAAAAAAATAAATAATTTTGATCCACCCTAATCTATAATAATAACAATAATAATATAGAGTAATCACATAGTAATAATAAACTTTTAGTCTCTAGGTTTATACGTGAAATAGGTTTTTTATGTGAAGATGTGTAAAAAAAAAAAAAAAAAAAATGAAAATACTTTTGATACTTACTAATCTATAATAATAACAATAATAATATAGAGTAATCACATAGTAATAATAAACTTTTAGTCTCTAGGTTTATACATGAAATAGGTTTTGATGTGAAGATGTGTAAAAAAAAAAAAAAAAAATGAAAATACTTTTGATACTTACTAATCTATAATAATAATAATCTAGTGGAGCAATAGATATTTTGAGTAAAGGTCTTTAAAAAAAAAAAAAATACTTTTGATACACACTAATAATTCCATGAGTAATTTTAACTGCTTTTTCTTTTATCATACTATCACTTTTCTGTGAAAATGTTCCTGCAGAGGCTTACGGCCACATCACATTGAAATTCCAGTTCCCATATGATCACCGAAGTTAAGCAATATCAAGCCTGATCATTACCTCAATGGGTGACCACTTGGGAATACCAAATTCTGTAAACTTAGGTATGTGGCTGATGTAATAGATAATGGCTTGGATTTGTTAACAGAGAGCTGAGTTCCAATTCCTATTAATTTCATTATATTCACTTTCATGAAATTGTGACGAAATACTGGATGTAGTAAGGATATTTTAATTTAGTGAAAAGGACACTGTGTTTTCTTTCTTAACTAAATTATCAGTAAATCTGTGGGTAGTAAGTTGACTTGTGCTACTGTGATGTGGAGGACTATAACATGTATAATTTGATATTTCCTCTGAAAGCAAACATTTTCTGTCGATTGATTGAAAGCGTTTCTCACACATGAGTTCATGATTATATTCGAACCCTGCATTCAACTTTACTATAAATTATAATTAAATATATATATATATTGTTTTCCTTTTTCACTGTTGGTCACCCAGTACAGGGCCCAAGAGTCACTCAAGGTAGTGGGTTACTGGATAAGGTTGTTGAAAGTACATAACAGTTGATTTGAGACTTAAAGAGGTTAATATTGTAATGATTGGAGAATCATCCTCACAGGAATCTTCCACAATTTTGACTCTTTGAAGAGGCTGCCGAAATGGAACTTCATTCTTTACCAATGGAATATTAATAGAATGGAGATGGTCTGACCCTGTGTACATGGTATGGTGAGTCTTAGCTATAAAGGTCTGAAATGGAGGAACACAAGAATGTATTATGAACAACAGTTTCCATAGAAATAGTGATCATGTAGTAAGAGGTTTGTGACATTTTGTCTGTGAGGAAAGTAGTTGTAGGCTCGGAAATAATTCATTAACCACAATGCTACATAGATGCCTTTTGAATTCTGTCAAGGCTTTAAAATGATGTTTGAGCCGTTCCAGCCCAAATATGATGGCAATACTCCATTTTTTGTTTGCTTTGACTTTTGTAAATATAGAGAATGGCAAGTAAACTTAATAGTTTTAAATTTTAGTGAAGCTTTTTCTATGGGAAAAGGCATGAATCCATTTCTCCCTAGGTCCAACCCCATTAGCAAACATTTTGCCTTTGAGATACTGCAATCAGTACATTGGAAGAACCACTCTTCTATAACTATCTTACCTATCGAAGCAGTAACAGCTAAAATTGGTTACCTTCATTGTCATCTTTGATATGGGTCTACTCGATTAAACTTCAGAAGCGGGTGTTGGGGGAGAGCACATTTGCAAAGAAGTTTACCATAGTGCTGGTCAACTTTTGATTCTATTTGTGTCGACACACATATAAAAATATTTTGGGCAGAGACCGGAATATGAGTGGATAACAATTAAGAGTAATTATTCCAAAAGCAGTGCCAATTTCATATTGAATATATACTTGTAGTGCACCAAATTCTTTGGGATGAAGGTCACATCATAGATTTTACACATTTTCAGCCGACCAAAGAAAGAATATCAATTTTCTAAGTGAATGAATTAAATTTGAATAACAAATAAGATATATTTGGGCTGTTGCTAAAACTTATGTTTTAGAACAAGAGATATGGAAATCAAAAAAAATAAAATCATGTGATTGGCTGTAGTTTGGAAACATGTACTTGTTCAAGAGCAGGAATGGTTGATTCATGAGGAAAATGCTGCTTACTAACATGGGAATCTTTTGAAAATATACCAGTTATACCCACTTTTCATATCAAACTTAATATGAATTGGAGAGCCAAGTTCAAATTCCAGTCAAATTAATTACATTGATTTACGTGCTAATACTCTTGGGAAAGGTATGAATCCTCTTCTTCTCCCTCCAGCTATGGGTAAATAACAGGACAGACCTGGTTCTATAGCCTTGGATGGCAACTGGTCTACTGCAGAAAAAAATGGCAACCTACTGCAGGAAAAAATCTGCTTCGTCAGTCATGTATCGAAAGATACATGATCGCCTAAATGTGTTATGCATAGCACATAACTGACTGAAATTTATTTATGTGCTAATACCCTTGGGAAAGGTATGAATCCTCTTCTTCTTCCCCCAGCTATGGGTAAATAACGGAACACACCAGGTTCTATAGCCTTGGATGGCAACTGGTCTACAGCAGAAAAAAATCTGCCTCGTCAGTCATCGAAAGATACATGATCGCGTAAGTGTGTGTTTCACATGGCACATAACTGACTGATAGAAGACAAAGTAATAAATATTTGGTACTTATGATCTGTTAGTGATTTTGGGAAGTAATATTGCTATCACATCAGCTTTGGTGCTTCTACTCTATATCTCAAGATTCTTGACAAAATTCAAAGAACGGTCTGTCGTGTAATTGATTCTGACCTGGCATCTTGATTTCAGTCACTTTCCCACCAATGTGACATGGCTTCTTTCTATCTTTTCTACAAATATTTTTATAGTAATATTTCAGATGAGCTTTACCCCTTGTTGCCTTGACTGCATGAATTTAAACATGCTACTAGATTGGCAACTAAGTCTCATCATTTTACTTTTGAACTAATTAACTAAAACTAAATAGATGCAAATGTCTCTTCTATTCTAATAGTTTCTTTTCTCACCTGTGGACCTCTCTTCCAATTCCTTACTTCCCTGCTACTTACAATCTTCAAAAATTTAAATACAACGCTATTTACCATCTCTGTCTTCCTAAATGCTATTTTTTGTGTTGTTCTTTCTCCTCACTAAAGTCTTCTCACTGTCTTTCACTCCCAGTAACCCTTGCATCCTAGTGGCATTCTCGCCTTTCTTGGGGTGAAATGATTAAAAAAAGAAAAAGAAAGAAAACAAAATATGTATTTCACCGCCGTGAATTAAAAGTCAACCAACCAAGATTGAATGGTTGGAAACAGTGTCTGGAATTAGTTTATCATCTCTTCTGTCTGACAGTGTGACATTTATACTTCATTTCATTTTTGCTTTGCATTATTACAGGCGATGAAAAATGGGTTTTGCATGTCAGCAGAAGAAAAAAAATATACCTATCATAAAATGAGAAATAATTGTCAACACAAAACCCAGGCCTCCATTTACTCCAAAGAGGTCCTTGTTTTTGACGTCTGACGGAGCATGAAAAGCAGCTTCTGGATGATAAAAGGATCATCACTGGAGAAGTTTATTGCCCTTAACTTGATCTGGTAAATGGAGCATTATGTTGAAAGTGTCCTGCTTTGGGAAGTAGAAAAAGTGATGCTTTCTCACATGTCAGTGGGATGAAACACTCTGCCAAAAAAAAAACAAAGAAAAAAGTAAGATAATTAGGATGAGAATTTCTGCAACATCTTCCATACTCACCTGAGTATTTTCATTCCATACTCATTTTCTTCCATACTCACCTGACTATTTTCATTCCATACTCATTTTCTTTCCATTCCATACTCATTTTCTTCCTACTCACCTGAGTATTTTCATTCCATACTCATTTTCTTCCATACTCACCTGACTATTTTCATTCCATACTCATTTTCTTCCATACTCACCTGAGTATTTTCATTCCATACTCATTTTCTTCCATACTCACCTGACTATTTTCATTCCATACTCATTTTCTTCCATACTCACCTGAGTATTTTCATTCCATACTCATTTTCTTCCATACTCACCTGAGTATTTTCATTCCATACTCATTTTCTTCCATACTCACCTGAGTATTTTCATTCCATACTCATTTTCTTCCATACTCACCTGAGTATTTTCATTCCATACTCATTTTCTTCCATACTCACCTGAGTATTTTCATTCCATACTCATTTTCTTCCATACTCACCTGACTATTTTCATTTTCATTCCATACTCACCTGACTGTTTTCATTCCATACTCATTTTCTTCCATCACCTGACTATTTTTCATTCCATACTCATTTTCTTCCATACTCACCTGACTATTTTCATTCCATACTCATTTTCTTCCATACTCACCTGAGTATTTTCATTCCATACTCATTTTCTTCCATACTCACCTGACTATTTTCATTCCATACTCATTTTCTTCCATACTCACCTGACTATTTTCATTCCATACTCATTTTCTTCCATACTCACCTGAGTATTTTCATTCCATACTCATTTTCTTCCATACTCACCTGACTATTTTCATTCCATACTCACCTGACTATTTTTATTTATTTCAATTACATGAGCATTTCATGTTGAAGAACATTTAAAAACAAAAAATGTTGAAAACAGTCTTATAAAGTAAATGTGAAAATGACTCTGTGTATCACACTTTTTCAATTAAATGGACACAACTCTCTGAAAAATTCTTACATCTGGAGCCATGTTCAAAGACTTAGCCTGAAAACAAACGACAGAATCACAGGTGATCTTGAAGCAAGAAGATTTGCTGCTTTAGTATTGCAGCTTGGCATTGGAACCATGAAAATGGAGCAAAATGGAAATATTTCACTTGCAAATGGTTGGGGAGTTTCAGTATCCAAGACTTGATTAACCATATTTATCGAAATATTAAACACCATTTCATGGATTCAAACTGGTTTTTTGCCATATTAGCTCCCAAGAATCAAACTGTGGATAGCATCAACTGGAACTTTTCCAAGAAACTCCAAAAGAAATCATGAAGTACTTTTCCATTGACACTGTGGTTGAACAAGAGCAGGCAGTTGATTATCCAATATAATTCTTGAACTCATTGAATCGTCCTGGAATGTCATCACACAAGCTGGAATTAAAAGAATATGTGCCAGTTATGTTATTGAGAAATCTGGATCCTCCAAAGTTTTGTAATGGAACAAGATTAATTGTCAAGAAGATGCTTCCTCATCTCTTGGAAGCAGAGATCTCTGGTCCACAAAAGTAGGAAAGAGTTTTAATTCCAAGAATCCCCTTAATTCCTTCAGATCTTCCTTTTGAGTTCAAAAGACTTCAGTTTCCACTGAGAGTGAGATATGCAATGTCAATCAATAAGTCCCAAACGCAGTCATTGAAAGTAACTGAACTTCATCTGATGGAACCCTGCTTTTCTCACAGCCAGCTCTATGTTAAAGGGTTGGGAAAGGGAACAGGCTATTTGTACTGACCTCAAATGGGGGGGGGGACAAAAATGTCATTTATCATTCAGCTTTGCAATAAGTTTGAAATAAACAAATTATATCATTATTTTGATGAAAACATTTGTTTGAAAAATATTGTTCAATTTTAATAAAATTTAATATGTACCCAATGCATGAAGTGTCATTATTGGGCCAAAGGCTGAATCAAGACCCTTCCGCAGGAGCTAGCTTAAATGCCGCCAATTGGGCAGTTTTTAAACTAGTTTTTGGGAGGAAAAAAAAAACAGATTTCATTAAATGTGGAATTGAAAATGTTCATTCCCATTTGGCTGCAGTTTTGAAAATGAAAGTGATTACAATTTTGATGAATAATACCATGTGCAGCAAATGTAACACCCTGCATTTTTAGAATTTATTTTAATTATTTTATTTAATTTATTTTTAAAAGGAAAGAGAAAGTTAAAGGGAGATAACCATGGATTCTAAATCAGATCATTATCATTGATAACTCTCTCCTCCAATTTGCTGACCCTAGTTACCATATTCTTAATACTTGATATAATGCAAAAATATCCCAATGATAAAATCAGTCAGTAATTATTTAAAACTATTTATACTGGGACTCGTGCATACAATTACAAGTAATTCATTATGATATTTTAAATTTTGAAATCATATTTATTTTTGGCACATCAATTTTTTAAAAACTATTTCTAAATTTTGATTGTCTATCAATCATTCCATCTCACCTGCTATCCACTTCCACCACACTCTTTGAGAACCAGTGTTTTAAGGAATTAGGCTATAATGAAACACCCTGGAGATTAGATTTGCCACCCTTGCATATTTGGTCATAAAGACAAGCACGTTAATTATAGATCTATGGCCAGCAAAATACTCTCATTCCAGGTTTCAACCAAATATTCCTATAAAGTGACATGTCATATTTATTAAAACACTCTATTAGTCATAAAAGCTTTTTTTCTTATTCTTTCCTGCAAATTACTTTTACTGAGAAATAAACATATGACTATATAGCACTAGCCCAGGTTAGGGTCCTAAGGGATTTTTTTTTTTTTTTTTTTTTTTTTTAAGTATTTTTTATTCCCACCTGACATTTACTTCATTGAGCCGATTTTATTGCTTGACAGGTGACATAACTGTACAGGTATGATCATAACTGAATTTATTTCTATCTTTTTTATTTCTTGTCGCTCTCAATAGTCAAAGGAATTCGTTGTAGCTCATCGTGCAAAGTTAACTCCTTTGCTGTTGTCTGGTACTATAAGCGGGAATCTGAAAGCCTGTGCTTCATTCCAAACTCTTTTACAATTATAGTCAGCCCTCTGTCTGTGCTCTTTTCTGAAGTTAATTCACATATGTTTTCTGTATTTCATTGGAGCTTTCATTGGGTACACCAACGTCAAAGACTTGATTTTAAAAGTTTTTATAAATTTGGTGGATTGAAAGAGAGGATCAGAATAAAACCACTTTTATCCAATTTTTTTATTTTTTATTTCTCTCCATCTCTTTTGAACTTTTTTCATCTCTCTCTCTCTCACTCTCAGGCTGTTTCTGTCTATTTCTCTATCTAAGCATATTTCTATTTATCTATCTCTCTCAGCTTGTTTCTGTCTATCGCAGCCTTTGCCTGTTTCTTTATCTATTTTCTAAACAAGTTTGTATCTCTCTCTATCTAAGCCTCTTTCTATCTATCCATCTCAGCCTATTTCTATCTAGATCTGTATCTATCAATCTACTTTGGACTATCTGTCTATCTATCTAGGCCTGTTTCTATCTGTCTATCTATCTAGGCCTGTTTCTATCTGTCTATCTATCTAGGCCTGTTTCTATCTGTCTATCTATCTAGGCCTGTTTCTATCTGTCTATCTATCTAGGCCTGTTTCTATCTATCTAGGCCTGTTTCTATCTATCTAGGCCTGTTTCTATCTATCTAGGCCTGTTTCTATCTATCTAGGCCTGTTTCTATCTATCTAGGCCTGTTTCTATCTATCTAGGCCTGTTTCTATCTCTCTAGGCCTGTTTCTATCTATCTAGGCCTGTTTCTATCTCTCTAGGCCTGTTTCTATCTCTCTAGGCCTGTTTCTGTCTATCTAGGCCTGTTTCTATCTGTCTGTCTATCTAGGCCTGTTTCTATCTATCTAGGCCTATTTCTATCTGTTTCTATCTATCTAGGCCTGTTTCTATCTATCTAGGCCTGTTTCTATCTGTCTGTCTATCTAAGCCTGTTTCTATCTGTCTATCTATCTAGGCCTGTTTCTGTCTATCTATCTAGGCCTGTTTCTGTCTATCTATCTAGGCCTGTTTCTATCTGTCTATCTATCTAGGCCTGTTTCTATCTATCTAGGCCTGTTTCTGTCTATCTAGGCCTGTTTCTGTCTATCTAGGCCTGTTTCTATCTGTCTGTCTATCTAAGCCTGTTTCTATCTGTCTGTCTATCTAGGCCTGTTTCTATCTGTCCATCTATCTAGGCCTGTTTCTATCTGTCTATCTATCTAGGCCTGTTTCTGTCTATCTAGGCCTGTTTCTATCTGTCTGTCTATCTAAGCCTGTTTCTATCTGTCTGTCTATCTAGGCCTGTTTCTATCTGTCTATCTATCTAGGCCTGTTTCTGTCTATCTAGGCCTGTTTCTATCTGTCTATCTATCTAGGCCTGTTTCTATCTATCTAGGCCTGTTTCTATCTGTCTATCTATCTAGGCCTGTTTCTATCTATCTAGGCCTGTTTTTCTATCTGTTTCTATCTGTCTATCTATCTAGGCCTGTTTCTGTCTATCTAGGCCTGTTTCTATCTATCTAGGCCTGTTTCTATCTGTCTGTCTATCTAGGCCTGTTTCTATCTGTCTATCTATCTAAGCCTGTTTCTATCTGTCTGTCTATCTAGGCCTGTTTCTATCTGTCTATCTATCTAAGCCTGTTTCTATCTGTCTGTCTATCTAGGCCTGTTTCTATCTGTCTGTCTATCTAGGCCTGTTTCTATCTGTCTATCTATCTAGGCCTGTTTCTATCTGTCTGTCTATCTAGGCCTGTTTCTATCTGTCTATCTATCTAGGCCTGTTTCTATCTGTCTATCTATCTAGGCCTGTTTCTGTCTATCTAGGCCTGTTTCTATCTGTCTGTCTATCTAAGCCTGTTTCTATCTGTCTATCTATCTAGGCCTGTTTCTATCTGTCTATCTATCTAGGCCTGTTTCTGTCTATCTAGGCCTGTTTCTATCTGTCTGTCTATCTAAGCCTGTTTCTATCTGTCTGTCTATCTAGGCCTGTTTCTATCTGTCTATCTATCTAAGCCTGTTTCTATCTGTCTATCTATCTAGGCCTGTTTCTATCTGTCTATCTATCTAGGCCTGTTTCTATCTGTCTGTCTATCTAGGCCTGTTTCTATCTGTCTGTCTATCTAGGCCTGTTTCTATCTGTCTATCTATCTAGGCCTGTTTCTATCTATCTATCTAGGCCTGTTTCTGTCTATCTAGGCCTGTTTCTGTCTATCTAGGCCTGTTTCTATCTGTCTGTCTATCTAAGCCTGTTTCTATCTGTCTATCTATCTAAGCCTGTTTCTATCTGTCTATCTATCTAAGCCTGTTTCTTTCTATTGAATTGTGATTGACTTCTCAGTGGATCTACTGATCCTATTAAAAATATAACAAGCAATATTATCCTTGTGTTTGGTTGTGTCTTTTATATATATATATATATATATATATATATAATCGCAAATCAGTTTTGCCTGACAAAAGCACGGAAAATATATTAATATTTAATGTGTTTTAAAGGCTAGCATATTTTTGAAAAAGTGTTCACTATCAAAAATCAAGTGACAATAATCCAGCTAAGGAAAACTTCAAAAGACTTGTGATCATTGGTGAATTTGTTGAGTTTATTTTCTTAAGGTTTTTTTTCTTTACACAAACACCTTTTTACAACAGTGGCATTATAAATGTATAGAAAAAAAAATTAAACAATTTTTAGTTTAACTATTATTCTACATCACTTTTTAAATTTTATTTTCTGTTCTTGCATGATACATTTTCTTTTTTAGTAGAGAACAAGTTTGGAATTTGACTAGTGTTCCTTGTGCAGCATATATAAAACTTGGTAAAGAATTCAATAGATTTATCAGACCCTGACAAGGGGCATGTCTGCAATGTGTGTGGGTCTGTAGGGTTATTAAAAAAACATTAACACTTTTATGGGAGTAGCTTTATTAGAAAAGCAGACTTGATATTGTAATTTCAAATCATATCCACCTGATTCCAAAAATGTGTCGACAGGAATTCTGAACAGGTGGAGACTGAAAGCATTTTTAATATTAAGTCTGCTTTTCTCATAAAGTGACTCTTGTAGAATTGTTAACATTTTTTCATTACTCTCTATATATATACACAATTTATTTTTATAAGCAGTTTAATTTTTAGGCAAAAATTAGTACTCTGGTTGCTTAATTATTTTATCTGATATCATTGATTGAGTGATTCATTTTTTATAGTTTATCAACCCTTGGCAGGTTATTTAAAGCTAGGAAATATTTAATTTTTTTTTTTTTTTTTTTTTTTTTTGAGATTAAATTTTTCAAATTTTTTTTTTTTTGGGGATTAGTGATACAAGCCAGGAAATATTTAAAAAAAATTTTTTTTTTTTTTTTTTTTTTTTTTGAGATGATAATGGTTTAGAGATACAAGCCTTACTGAATAACCCCTAGCTGGCACAGGAGAAAGGGTAGATGTATACTTTACCTAAGGTTATTTGTGTGTAAGTGACTATAATGAACCCAATGGGAATTGGAACTCGGCTCTCTAATTATCAATTCCAAGCCATTCATATCATTATCAACTTCAGTCACTTTCTCACTGCCATAAGGTTACCACCCTGTACTTTTTCTATAAATGCTTTTATGGTGATTGTTCAGATGAGCTCTTTGCTATGGTACCTAGACTGTATGAATTTAAGTACAGTTCTAGACTGGTATCAAGAAGTCATCAATATACAGTTGAGCTAGCTAGCTTGCACAGGCCACTGTAGGATTAAATAAACTCTCTTTCTTTCTCTATCTCTCTTTCTTTTTTTCTTTCTTTTTTTTTTTTCCTTAAAGTTAAATTTAGAGTTCTTTTTGGTCATGACCTCTAGCTTACTTATTTATTTCATTTATTTGTGTTATATATTCTTTCCTTGGTTCTAAGTTTTGGTATTTGGAATAAAATAGGCTTCTCCGCTTTTTAGCGGGAAAACAGATAGCATAATGAAAAAGGCCACAAATTTAACAAAAATAAAGTCTAAATAAAATTCTACATAAATTTATAAATTGTATTCAGTACAATTTATAAGATTTACGTAGAATTTTATTTATAGTCTTTATCATGTGATTGTAGCTATGCCATGCATAGAAGGAATTTGTTTTCATGTCTACATTTGGAAATGAGCTCCGATTTTTATAAAAGTTTAGCCCATGACTGTCACCATGCAATCTTGCTTATTATGTCTACACATACTCTCCCTCTCACACACACACATATATATATATATATATCAAAAATACACTTACAAACTTTGTGGGTAGGTTCCTCACACCAAAACAAGGACAAAAGTTCATAAAACACATGTCTGCAAATCTTCAGTTTCCGAGTTATTGAGTTTAAATTTTACGGCAGATGTTGTTCAATGAACAATCCAAGATACAATCCAAAAATACTATTACAAACTTTGGGGTGGGTTCCTGATGCCAAAACAAGTTAAAATGTCCATATAGACATATGTCCAAAAGGACACCATTGTACCTCAACACAGCAACTCATAACAAATGTTCAAAATCTCCTCTACTTGCTTCTACACACTGATCATTGACTGAAGGACTCTTTCAGAGACTCACACATGGCATCAAATGGTTTTGCAGGTCCCCATGACACATTGATGAAGCGTCTTTGCATTATTGTCTGATGGATAATTGTTTCTTGTGGCCCCATAGATAAAAATCCAAAGGATTGAGGTTAGCAGAGTGCGCAGGCCATGGAACCAGTTCTCCCTTACGCATCCATCTTTCATAGACTTTATATGGACTTTTGTCCTTATTTTGGTGTGAGGAACTTACACTCAAAGTTTGTAAAAGTATTTTTGATTCACCCTATCTATCTATATATATATATATATATATATATATATAATATAAAAGGGCTTAAACACTAATATTCCAAGGTCATAATTTATTCCATTGGAATCATAAATACGATCCATTTCATTGAATTGGATCGTATGAATTGGATTGTATTTATGATTCCAATGGAATAAATTATGACCATGGAATATGAGTATTTAAGCTTTTTATTATATCCTTACTCTGTCCTGGACATTGAGTTCTACCTGGATTCTATCCTCTTGGAATTATTTTTATACATATATATATATGTATGTGTATATTTATCACTAATATTATCTATCTATCTATCTATATATATATATATATATATATATATATATATATATATATATATATATATATATATGGAGGAGAAATAGAAAATTCTTTTTCTGCTCCATATGTCATTCTCTGCTGAAGCTTTACTAAAAATGAAACTTGTTAGATTTACAAACGTTTCCTATTTGTTCTTTTATCCTATATATATATATATATATATATATATATATATATATATATATATATATATATATTGAAATGGATTAAGTCTGACAATTATTTAATATATTTTCTGTTTATACCTTATTTTTATAGATATAGTTTATTTGAGTAAATGCTCTATTCTTTAATTAAACAGTATTAATTACATTTACCAGCCTGAATGTTCAAGAAATTTCATAGAAAATATGCATTCTCTGACAGGAATCGAACCTGTAATTGTTAACACAAGATCAGGTCAAATGAATGTTCCCATAACATTTACAGATTCACTTTCTGTCAGAGAGCACATATTTTCTACAAAATTTCTTGAACATTCAGGCCAGTAAATGTAATTAAAATGGAACACTTCTCAGTTTTTTTTTTTTATGTACCCTGTATATGTTTATATATATATATAATTAGAATGAAAATAACGTATAAATTCTAACGTTCACAGCTTTAATTCAAAAGAGGGCTAAATAATGAGAGTAGAACAATAATCATTTATTTATTATAAGAGGTGAGAACCAGTTGAGGTGCAACTAAATGCACTGAAACAAGGTTGCATCTTTGTAGTGAGTAAATTTTTTTTTGTCTGTATGATTAAATTATGTATATGTATACCCTAGATAGGTTGGTTAATAAAATAGAGAACAAATGAAAAGATACCAATATAATCAGGACAATATTTATTAAATATGAACCATTTGACAAAATTTTTACTCACAGACAGATTTTTTTTATAGATAAAGTATTTTCCAGTGGAAATCATTATGAGCAAAGCCAGATCTCGGTCTCATCACTCAATGTGCAAATTTTTTTTATAAAAATAAACTTAAATTTTGATCAGTGTAAAAGCACTTGATGAAGAGAGTTATAGGTTGGGGGAGGGGCAAAGACTTCTTACATGTAGCAAGTTGTAGCAAAAATTAACAGATCCCATGATCAAGTGTAGAAAGCTAGGGGACATGGTTAGAATTATTATTATCACTATTATACATACATTTTATATATATATATATATATTATAAATTAATTGATTTAAAATATGTTTTTTTCCGCTACACAGTTCTAGCCATGTTTCAAAAATGTTTGAAACATGGTTAGAACTGTGTAGTGGAAAAAACCATATTTTAAATCAATTAATTTATAATATTCATGCTCTGTAAATTTACATAGAACACTATTTTTTTAAAAATAAAAATATCTATAAGAACACTGGATTATATATCTTGTTCTTTTCTTTTTTATATATATATATATATATATATATATATATATATATATATATATATATCTCAGTAATAGTAATATTAGCAGTAATACTTAACCACTGTCAAAACCTTTCCTTGAGTTTTCAGTGTATTTCTACAAAAAACATTGGCAATGTGTTTACACTATATGTATTATGGTATTTTGTTATTAAGGCTTACCTTAATTCCTGATCATTGACAATCTGTTTCTTTTTGATTTTTCAATCCATTTCAATAGTGAAAGCATTAGAAATATGCTTACTTTATACATAATAATCATTTTCTGCTAGTTAAGCTTACCTTAATTCTTGACCACTGATAATCAGTTTCCTTTTGTTTTCCATTGTATTTCTAGAGTAAAACCATTAACAATATATTAAATTATACATAGAATTCTTTTCATCTTTAAGTAATGTTTACATTCATTCCTGGATCTCTGATATTTAATGCTCGACATAAATATCAGTACTTACTCAAAGAAATTTTTAATGAAATTTCACTTTTATGGTACTGTGTTACTATGGTGACAAAAGGAATGAGAGTTCTAGTGTTTTGGGGAGACTTGTTGTCAGTTTACCTTCAGAAATGAAAATTGAATTCCTCTAGTGTTAAGATAGATATTTCATCATCATCATTAGCAATAGCTTCTGCCAAAAATGCATACTGCAGATGAAGATAGAATCAGTATAGAACAAAAGACTGGAGTTCATAAGGTAC